GGAATGGATCCGGGTGGGATCAGGAATGGATCCGGGTGGGACCGGGAATGGAATCCCCCCCCAAGGTTCTAGTTTTTTCCCAACCCAGACAATCCCAGAATTCCATGGAATCCACCCCAGGATTCCATTCCCATTCCCCAGGAATTCCCATTCCCATCCCAAGGAATTCCCTGCTTTTCCCAGCCCAACCAATCCCAGAATTCCATGGAATCCCCTCAGGGATCCAATTTTTCCCAAGCTTCCCACACAATCCCAGAATTCCACGGGATTGTTCCAATTTTTCCCAAGCTTTTTCCCAACCCCGACAATCCCAGAACTCCCTGGAATCCCCCCCAGGATTCCAACTTTTCCCAAGCTTTTTCCCAACCCAGACAATCCCAGAATTCCAAGGAATTCTTCCAGATTTTTCCAAGCTTTTTCCCAATCCAACCAATCCCAGAATTCCATGGAATTGTTCCAATTTTTCCAAAGGCTTTTCCCAACCCAGACAATCCCAGAATTCCATGGGATTCTCCCAGAATTCCAACTTTTCCAAAGGCTTTTCCCAACCCAACCAATCCCAGAATTCCCTGGAATCCCCCCCCCAGGATTCCATCCCCACCCCCATCCCAAGGAATTCCTCGGGACGGATTTTTCCATGGATATTTCCCTGTTGGAAAAGCCGGAAATTCGGGATCCTGGGGAGTTCCCATTCCCGTTTTTTTTTTTGTTATTCCCAGTTTAGGAGCCGTGGCCGAGGTGACGGCGGCCGGAGTCATCGGAACCGGGACCCACAACACCGGGATCGGCCACGGGATTCTGCCCACACAGGTGCCGGAATTCCCGGAATTCCTCCGGGAATTCTTCCTGGAATCCATCCTGGAATTCATCCCGGATTTCTTCCTGGAATCCTCCCTGGAATTCTTCCCGGAATTCTTCCCGGAATTCTTCCTCCAGGAATTCTTCCCAGATTTCTTCCCAGAATTCCTCCAGGAATTCTTCCTGGAATTCTTCCCAGAATTCTTCCTCAAATTCTTCCCCGAATTCTTCCCGTAATTCTTCCCAGAATTTTTCCTGGAATTTTTCCTGGAATTCTTCCCAGAATTTTTCCCGGAATTCTTCCCGGAATTCTTCCTGGAATTCCTCCAGGAATTCTTCCCAGAATTCTTCCCAGAATTCTTCCTGGAATTCTTCCTGGAATTCTTCCTGGAATTCTTCTCAGAATTTTTCCCGGAATTGTTCCCAGAATTCTTCCCGGAATTCCTCCAGGAATTCTTCCCCGAATTCTTTCTGGAATTCTTCCCGGAATTCTTCCCAGAATTTTTCCTGGAATTTTTCCCAGAATTCTTCCCAGAATTCTTCCCTGAATTCTTCCCGGAATTCTTCCTCGAATTCTTCCCAGAATTTTTCCCGGAATTCTTCCCAGAATTTTTCCTGGAATTTTTCCCAGAATTCTTCCCAGAATTCTTCCCTGAATTCTTCCCGGAATTCTTCCTCGAATTCTTCCCAGAATTTTTCCCGGAATTCTTCCCAGAATTTTTCCTGGAATTTTTCCTGGAATTCTTCCCAGAATTTTTCCTGGAATTTTTCCTGGAATTCTTCCCAGAATTTTTCCCGGAATTCTTCCCGGAATTCTTCCTGGAATTCTTCCTGGAATTCTTCCCGGATTTCTTCCCGGAATTCTTCCTGGAATTCCCAGAGACCGCCCAGAAACTTTGGGAATTTTGGATCAGGAGAAGGGAATCCGGGAATATCCGGGAGAAATCCGGGATGGGGGAATTCCAGGATTGGGATTTTTGGGGATTTTTCCCAGTTAAGATCACTCCGGGATTTTTTTGGGGAATTTCGCTGCTCCGGGTTTATCCCGGTTGGGAATTCCCATCCCGAGGAAAAATTCCAGGGAAAATCGCAATTCCGACATTCCCAGTGCCGGATTTCTCCCTTTTATTCCCAAAAATCCGATGGGAAAATTCCCTGGAATCTGAGCTGGGAATTCTTGGAATTCTTGGAATGTTCAGTGCAGGGCTGGGAGTTGGAGAATCCTGGTGGATCCAGCTCGGGATATTCCCAAATTCCCGAAGATTCCTGGAGTTCTGATCTCCTCATCCCGGAATTTTGGGAAGGAATTCCCGGCTGGGCTGGAATTCCCAAAAAAATCCCTGGGAATATCCAAGGAAAAGCCGGATCGGGTTGGGAATGGGGTGGGATTGGGAATCTGTGGATCCCATCCCAAGGAATCCCGGGATTCCGGGATCCAGGATCCATCAGGATCCATCCCGAGGGATTTTTATGGAATTCTGGGATAGGGAGACCCTTCCTGCAGTCCCCAATTCCCAGGGAATTCCCAAAATTCCTTCCCTTGGGATGGGGCTGGATTTCCAATCCCGGCCTGGGAATGGAGAGAATTCCATGGGAAAAAACTTGGGAGAAAAAATTGGGATTTGGGCTGGAATTCCCTGGAAAAACTGGGAATAATTTGGGATTTGGGAACTGGGAAGGAATTTCCAGGGAAAATGAGCAAGAACTGGGATTAGGGAAGGAATTCCTTGGAAAATAGGGAATAATTTGGGATTTGGGCTGGAAATTTTTGGGAAAAGGGGGAGGAATTTGGGATTTGGGAATTGGGCCAGAATTCCCTGGAAAAACCGGGAATAATTTGGGATTTGGGCTGGAATTTCCAGGGAAAAGTGGGAACAATTTGAGACTGGGAAGGGGGAAGGAATTTCCGGGGAAAATGGGGAAAAATTTGGGATTTGGGCCGGAATTCCCTGGAAAAACCGGGAATAATTTGGGATTTGGGCTGGAATTCCTTGGAACATAGGGAATAATTTGAGATTTGGGAAGGAATTTGGGAATGGGGCCGGAATTCCCTGGAAAAACCGGGAATCATTTGGGATTTGGGCTGGAATTTCCCGGGAAAAGTGGGCAAGAATTCCCGGCAGATCCATCTGGAACCCGGAATTCCCCTCCCCCCCTCCACAGGTTGTGGCTCTTTCCCTGCTCCTGGCTTCCGGAGAAATCCTGGAATGTTCGGAATCGCTGAATCCCGAGGTTTTCCAGGCGGCTCGGCTCCACCTGGGATGTTTGGGAATCGTCCTCTCCGTCACCTTCCAGTGCGTCCCGGAATTCCGGCTGCGCGAGGTCGCCTTTCCCTCCACCCTGCCCCAGGTAGGACGGGAATTCCCGCGGGAATTTCGGGAATTATTTCTTTTCCGGGGTTCCGAAGGGTTTCGGTTCCGTGGTTTCTGAGGCTCCGCCTTGGAAATTTGATCCCCACTTTTCCCACCCCTCCATTCCCGCTTTTCCCCCTTTTCCCTGGATCCATTCCCATCCATCCTTTTCCCCCATCTTTTCCCTCTCTTCCCTCTTTCCTTTCCCACTTTTCCCCATCCATTCCCAGATTCCTTTCCCACTTTTCCCACCCTTTTCTCCCGTTATCCCTCCACTCTTTTCCCACTTTTCCCCCTGTCCATTCCCACATCCCCTCCATCTTTTTCCCCCTTTCCTTTCCCACTTTTCCCACCCCTCCATTCCCACTTTTCCCACTTTCCCTGCATCCATTCCCGGTTTTCCCTCCATCCATTCCCCCTTTTCTCTCCATCCTTTTCCCTCCGTCCATTCCCACTTTTCCCCCTTTTCCTGTCCATCCATTCCCACTTTTCCGTCCATCCATTCCCCGTTTTCCCTCCATCCATTCCTGGTTTTCCCTCTGTCCATTCCCATTTTCCCCCCTTTTCCCATCCATTCCCAGATTCCCTCCGTGCTTTTCCCACCATCCATTCCCACTTTTCCCACTTTTCCCTCCATCCATTCCCACTTTTCCCACTTTTCCCCCTTTTCCCATCCATTCCCTTCCCACATTCCCTCCATCCATTCCCGGTTTCCCCCCCTGTCCATTCCCACATTCCCTCCACCCTTTTCCCCTTTTCCTTTCCCACTTTTCCCCCTCCATTCCCACTTTTCTCTCCATCCTTTCCCATATTTTCCCCCTTCTCCCACTTCTCCCCTTTTTCCCATCCATTCCCACTTTTCCCATCCATTCCCACATTCCCTCCATCCTTTCCCTCTTTCCCTGGATCCTTTCCCACTTTTCCCTCCACCCATTCCCACTTTTCCCACTTTTCCCCCTTTTCCCTGGATCCATTCCCATCCATCCTTTTCTCCCATCTTTTCCCTCTTTTCCCTCTTTCCTTTCCCACTTTTCCCATCCTTTTCCCCCTTTTCCCTCCATCCATTCCCGGTTTTCCCTCTGTCCATTCCCACTTTTCCCACTTTTCCCATCCATTCCCACTTTTCCCTCCACCCATTCCCACATTCCCTCCATCCATTCCCGGTTTTCCCCCTGTCCATTCCCATCCATTCCCCCTTTTCCCATCCATTCCCACTTTTCCCTCCATCCTTTCCCCCTTTTCCCACCTCATTCCCCCTTTTCCCACTTTTCCCCCTTTTCCCATCCATTCCCACTTTTCCCATCCTTTTCCCCCTTTTCCCTCCACCCATTCCCACTTTTCCCTCCACCCATTCCCACTTTTCTCTCCATCCATTCCCGGTTTTCCCTCCATCCATTGCCCCTTTTCCCACTTTTCCCCCTCCATTCCTGGTTTTCCCCCTTTTCCCCCTGTCCATTCCCACTTTTCCCTCTTTTCCCATCCATTCCCACATTCTCTCCATCCATTCCCGGTTTTCCCTCCGTCCATTCCCACTTTTCCCCCTTTTCCCACCCGTTCCCAGATTCCCTCCATGCTTTTCCCTGTTTCCATTCCCCCTTTTCCCCCTTTTCCCTCCATCCATTCCCACTTTTCCCTCCCCCCATTCCCAGTTTTCCCCCTTTTCCCCTCCATTCCCACATTCCCGCCATCCTTTTCCCTCTTTCCCCGGTTCCTTTCCCACTTTTCCCTGCACCCATTCCCATTTTTCCCTCCGTCTTTTCCCCACGTCCGTTCCCACTTTTCCCACTTTCCCCATCCATTCCCACATTCCCCCTTTCCTTTCCCACTTTTCCCATCCTTTTCCCCCTTTTCCCTCCACCCATTCCCACTTTTCCCTCCGTCCATTCCCAGTTTTCTTATCCTTTCCCACTTTTCCCCCTTTTTCCTCCATCCATTCCCCCATTCCCTCCATCCATTCCCGGTTTTCCCTCTGTCCATTCCCACTTTTCCCCCCTTTTCCCGTCCATTCCCACATTCCCTGCACCCTTTTCCCTCTTTCCATTCCCCCTTTTCCCACTTTTTCCCACTTTTTCCCACTTTTTCCCACTTCTTTTTCCCACTTTTCCCCTCCCTCCTCCCCTCCCCCCCCCTCCCACTTCCCCTTT